TGTGTATGTATGTATGTGTATATATATATATATATATATATATATATATATATATATATATATATATAATCTTAATCTTATATAATCTTAATTTTTTTCCATGGCAAGGTTGACATTTGCATGGAATTGCTCATATGAGTTTATGTTTTGAGTTTTTACTGCAAATGTCACATAATGCTGGAAGTGCTCATATATACGTTAACGCAGATAACGCCGCCGTGCTGCGTTAGCATGAAACACTTATTAGGCGATTTTAAAAAAAAAGTGCTAACATGGATACAGTTCACTAGACTAGAGTGAATCTGATTAACGATAGCTGTAGAGTTTATGCGTTCGAGTAAAATATATACAAATAAAATAGACCAGGTGCTTTTTAAAATAAATGACGGTGAATGAAAGTCAAACCGGTGAGCCGTCTGACTAAAAAAAGTGCCCTTCTGAATCAAATCAGCAGAATGCCCTTCTGGATCTTTCACTTACTTTGAAGACACCACTGACTACATTTACATGGACATCTGTAATCTACTTATTTGCCTTAACAGACAAAAATATAATTAAGGTGTTTACCTGAAGTGCTTTCATGTAAGAATTTCCTATAATTTTGGGTGACTTTAACTGCAGTTTGGCAGTTTCACATTCACTCATGAACATTTCATTCATGCCCCCGTGATAATACTGGGGTATTATTACACATTGTGTCGTTTTATTTATATATTAGAATATTAAAATATAATTACCTGTATGTAATTTGATCGTGGAACAACAGCGAACGTGAATGTTTTATTAAATTATTTCAAATCTCACAAAAGTATCAAGCTATTTTCAGTAAATAAAAATAAAATGTTTGTGCACTCGTCACATGCATGTACAAACTGACGCCATGAAATGACTCCGCAAGTCGATTCAGTTAGAATTCCACTTTGTTTTATTCTTACAGAAATCTGCGACAGTGTATTTCTGATGATTACCAATGTGCAAAATATAAACCCATGGAATTTGACTCTTTCTGGAAAAACAAAAGAAAGAAAAAGATTTCACATTCATGGATTGGCGTTAATGTGAAAGCTGTCCCACCGGTGACACTGAACGCTCAGAGGAGCCATCAGACGCCAATAAACCCTCAGCGCTTCCAGCTCTCAACGTCACTTTAGTTTAAGCCCGTGACACTCATGTTAACGTTATACTACCACAAATAATTCACCTGCAAAAAAATTTAAATTGTTTTCATTATTTACTTGCTGTCTTGCCATTCTGTGGCTATATATACTGCTTAAAACAGGGAACACTTGAAGTTACATTATATTGTTTTAAGTGTTCCCTTTGTTTTTTTAGCAGTATATATATATATATATATATATATATATATATATA